CCATTTATGTGGTACAAGCACTCAAAGTCCTGGAGGCCGTGGGAGCTATTAGTAATGCCCATAATGTATCTGCTTACTTTAATCAGCTTCAACAACTTATCTGTAGCCGCACTGCTCCTTTTTATCCAATGCACATACGGGCTCACACCTCTCTTCCTGGTCCGTTATCACAGGGTAATGCCTGTGCGGACTCAGCCACTAGAGGCCAGTTGATATGCTTGGCTTCCTCCTTAGAGGGGGCTAAATTATTTCACCAGAATTTCCATGTTAATGCTTTAACGCTGCGCAGGCGTTTTTCCATTTCAAGAGCGGATGCTCATCAGATAGTATTACAATGTTCCCATTGTGTCACATTTCTTCATCCCCCTACTTATGGAGTGAACCCACGGGGATTGAAGCCATTGGTTGTCTGGCAAATGGATGTGACGCACATACCTGACTTTGGTAACCTCAAGTATGTACATGTTTCTGTTGATACGTGCTCTGGAGTTATTCATGCCTCTGCTTTGTCGGGAGAGAAGGCACGTAATGTTATTACTCATTGCCTAGAAGCATGGGCAGCATGGGGTGCTCCTGCATCCCTTAAGACTGATAATGGACCTGCTTATACTGGCAGACAATTTACATCCTTTTGTTCTACCATGGGAGTGCAACTTACTCATGGTCTGCCTTACAATCCTCAAGGACAAGGCATTGTTGAGTGTGCTCATCGCACCTTAAAGGAAACTTTACAAAAACAAAAAGGGGGAATAGGAGCTGAACACACTCTTAAAGAACGCCTGTCCTTAGCTCTCTTTACCATTAATTTTTTGAATTTGGATATTCATGGTCGCTCTGTGGCTGATAGACATGTGTCCCCTCAGCCCTCTGTGATTGGCTATGTTAAGTGGAAGGATGTTCTTACGGGCCAATGGAATGGCCCCGACCCCGTGCTGACATGGGCACGAGGATCTGTATGTGTTTTTCCCCAGGATCGCACGGAGCCGTTGTGGGTCCCTGAACGCCTGACAAGAAGAGTCTTGACATCAACCGACCAGCAACAAGAGATACCACAGCAACCCTGTGATGAGGATCTTCACTCTGCTACGTGCTCTGGTTCTGGTGCTGGTGCCGATGGCACAGACGACACCAATGCAGTGGTGGGCAGTGGCACAGGCTTGGCCAATGCCGATGCCGGTTCATGGTAGTTCTAGTGTCCTCCCCACTCTTTTCTCTACCTCATGTGAGATGTCTGCTCCCTGTGCCTCTCCTAGAGGGGACGTGGAGAACATTTTTAATCAATCTCAGGTTAATCTCACAGGAGTTTTTTGTTTCAGCCTTGGAAACGCTAATTGCATTAGCCTTAAGACCAAAAATTTGACTAAGTGGGAGGACCCATTGCGGTCCAATCAGGTCTCAGGGAGTATTATTAATGCCGTACTGAGCCAAGTAGTTTCAGGGAAGCAATCAGGTTCAGGGATCCCTGTAAATAGCTCTGCTTTAAACATAACTACCTTGGCTATGATCTCCAAGGTACTAATCCCAGTGCCTCCTTCTTCTAATAGTACTTACAATGCCACTCATTTCAAGGCCTCTCCTTACTGTACCCCTAATCTTGGTTTCCCCCCAACATTTATGCCTTGTCAGGATCATTCTTGGGAGAAACTTCAAGTTGCTAAGGGTTTCTCCTTTTCCCCCTCTCTTAAGAGGTATGTTTATAACTTTAACCATAGTGCCAACTCCTCTACAGGAGTAGGTTGGTCCTGGTTTCAATGGCTGATTTCCAATGAGAAGGGGGCTTCAGCTGATATTTCTGCATTGGCTCAATTGCTGGGAGCCAAAAGCTGGCTGGCTAATGTTTCTGGCACTGTTAGGGAGAGTGAACGAGGTAATAGACTTACATCTGTTTCATTCAACTCTTTGCTATATAATGCCACATTGCCCCCTGCAATGGTCTGCGTCCAATCCCCATTCTTGCTCCTTTTGGCTAATGACACCTCGTCGGGGATGCTGGATTATTCTAGTGTTACCTGTCTCTTATCTGAGTGTTGGAATGGTTCTTGGACTGTAGCAGTGGTTATGAAAATTCCAACCTTTGTCCCAATCCCAGTCACTGCGGACCCAGATAAATTCCCCATTGTTGAGCTACTTAGAGTCCGCAGGGATTTTGGAATTACGGCAGCTATAGTGACAGCTGTGGCAGGGTCTGCTGCTGCAGCGGTTACGGCCGGAGTGGCCATGGCCAGTTAAGTACAAACTGCTGCCACCATTAATCAAGTTGTTCAACAAACTTCCACTATACTTGAATCCCAAAATTCAATTAAATCAACATATTTTGTCAGGGATTTTAGCTGCCAACCAAAGAATAGATTTACTCCAAGCTCAGGTAGAAGAATTGGCCGACTTGGTGCTTTTGGGTTGTGTTGACCAACGTGCACATTTATGCATAACCTCTGTCAGATTTAATGATTCCAGGAATGCCTCCCGCATCATTGGCGAATATTTGGCCGGAAATTGGTCCATGGCAGCAGAAAACTTGATCCAGTCTCAACTAACTCAGATTGCTGTTTTGAATAGTACCCGTGTTGAACCAGTGACTTTGGGTCAATTCACCGATTGGATATCTTCTGCTTTTTCCTTCTTCAAAGAGTGGGTGGGAGTAGGCATTTTTGGTGCAATGTGTTGCTTCGGTGTTGTACTTTGTTTGTGGCTTCTCTGTCGCCTTAAAACTCGCCATGCACAAGAAAAGGCTATGATCATACAAGCTCTTGCAGCTTTAGAAAATGGCAACTCGCCTCAAGTCTGGCTTGTGCATCTTAAGCAGTAAACCTTTGTCATGGTCGTTACACCCCAAGTTATTATAACATTGCACTGGGATCGACATGACTTTCCTTGTTATTCTCTTAGTGTTGGAAAGCCCTTGCACTCTGCCGGTCTTACTGCCATTGCACGCAGATGGGTTTCCACACTAGTACTTTTGTATCGCCTTGAAGTTCGTGCCTTTCTTTCAGGGTGCTGTCAACTTGTTTGTCCTTATAAACAGCCACAGTTCAGCCTCAGCTATCCCCCTTCGTCCACCATCGTCACGATACAGGATGCGAGGCAAGGCACTGCACTTGAGTGATCCTTGACGTGGACCTCAAGGAGAGCATGTCCTGTTGCATGCGGGTTAGACGCGTCCACGCCCCGCCCCACGAAAAAAGGCGTCGGCTGATATGGCTTCAGATCTGGGGAAGGCGCCTCCTTAGGACTGAGTCATACTATGCAGCCACTTCTGCACAGTGGGATAGGACCTCTACTCTCGCCTGTATTGTTTTAAGAAAACAGAAAAGGGGGAACTGTGGTGAGCCACTTCTGCCGTTTCTGCAGACTATGGTCGCCATTACAAGATGACGCTGGCTCCGCTGTGGTCTGTGACAAACAACTTCTTATCTGGGAAAGTTGGCACATGATTTTTCACCACCCTGTGAGAAAGCTCCACGCGGCAGCTTTGCATTGGGGCTTGGGATGCTTTATTAAGGCTGGGAGGGGCATCCGAGGGAGAGAAGAAGAAATATCAAGGGCCTGAATAAACTGCTGAAAGAAGATTCCCGAGTTGCGTCTTCCTTGCCGGCAAGGGGTCGTGACAATCAGTATTAGAAATCTGATGCTCCATCACCTTTTTAAAAGATCTTAAAAAATACTTGACAACTTTATGGTATGAACAGTTTACAACCTTAAAAGGGGGGGGGTTACAAGTTATGATTCGAGGGCATTTTCAAATAGGCAAAAAAAAAAAAAAGAAAAAAAAGCCTGGAGGTGCCTGTTTGGAGAATCATCTATACAGGTGATTGGCCGGTAGTCTGCAGGTTGGCTACTTCACCAGAGATAACACGCTGCAGAACTACCAGAAAGGCTCATTCTCTCCACAATTGTATGCTCCACCGGGGGGGCGAGGGGGGCAGTATTGCACAAAGGACGAATCTCCCCACGTTTCAACCTCTTACCTGCACTAGGTGAATCCCACCACCTGGATTCACCCAATCCCCACCCACCTCTCCGCCCCGGGCACCTGGCCAGAGGCTTTGGCATACAAACACGGACAAACGCTGGACTAGGGAAAAGACCCCCAACGCTACAAACGGTGGAGGTCAGGCATCTGGGGGCGGGGGAATCGATCTCCGACAACACAAACACCAGCGACGGGCCCCTCGCAGGGTCTCCGGACACGACCTTGCACTCTCGGACCGACCTAGCACTCGCGGCCCTGGCAGTGTCTATAATAGAGTCCGAGCTCTTCGGTCAACACCGTGGGGCTAATTTAGAGCCTCTGGCAGGACCGCGACGCCAGAGCACCTTCAGGTTTTTAAGGCCACCAACGGAGCGGCACCCCGCAAGAACCGCCAACTCAGTCCCCAGAGGCCAAGGCCAGGAACCGGTCGTTTCTCGAACACCTGGCTCCGAGACCTAAAATAAGATTCGACAGTAGCCTAGCCCAGCACATCACACCCGAAACCTCACCTCTGCGAAAGCAAAAGGCCCTTTGGCCGAAAAACGTCGCCAAACCGCCGTCGTTCCTCTCCAACCGCTGGGACAAACACCCTACAAAATGGCGGCAGCGCCGTCACCCTACAACCCCCTAGGCGGCCTCTAGCCCCACCTACACCGCGCGAATGCGACTGCGTGACAGAGCCAGGCGCGTTCCCGCAGCTCCCGTAAGGGGCGTGGCTTCTGGTCGTAAGGAGCACCGCCAGCACACTGCAGCTGCGCGGGCCTGCTCATTACATCACAAAAGCCCCACCCTTTGGGCCTGGCGTGTGCTCGGGTTGTTTTTGTCCTCGGAACCCAGGGAAAAGGCAAGGTGAAAACCCTGAAGCTCGTGTCGCGCCTCCGCTCTTCAAAGTGTAGTTTTCCTGGGTGCGGGATCTCTCGGCAGAGTCAGCCGTGACCCGTTTCCTTCCTCTCACCCTCTAGTGGGACGCCCCGTCGCAGCTTGCACTCTTCTCGCCCTCCCCCAGCCTTTCCCACCCCACACAGCTAACCTGCCGCCTGGGGCGGGTGCTGGGGGCGGCTTGGTGAACCGGGTCGCTGTAGTCCAGCACACTTGGGAGCTTCCCGTCGAAAATGGATTCGGATACACAATGAAGTCTCAGAAAACAAGCTCAGGAGTTGCTTTTCAAGGCAAGTGCTCCTAAATCAGAACAAAACAAAAAATTGGAAAGTTAAGACTCCTGACAAGGTTCTTCCTGTTACTTCCTACCTCAGGGCAAATAAAGTAGCTGGAAGTTTTCCTAAGAAAGTTGTCTCCGTTATTTGTACCTGTGAGTTGATATTATTCATCCAAGGCCGAGTACTGTCGCAAAGCTACTGAGTGTCCATTAGGGGCATGCTTACCTCAAATAAGGTATTTGGCTGTCCTAAGAATCCCAGGAAGCTTTGCAGTGTGAATGTGATGGGGTCAGAAGGCTTGAGGGCCAAACTTCGTGCCCTGGAGAACACTTTCAAAGAACAGAGGCGAAGCATCCAGAAAAGGAATGATCAGATGGAGGAGAAGCAAGAATATGGTGTCAAAACAAGGGAAGTTTACAGCTTGGTATGGTTTGTCCCCCAAAGGTTGATGGACGGGAAGCTAGGTCCCCAGTGTGGCAACGCTGAGGTGGTAGGACTTTTAAGAGGTGGGTCCTTATGGAAAGTAATTGGTTATAAGGGTTCCATTCTGATATGGATCAATGCTCGTCTTGCAGTATGGTTGAGTCTCACAGGAGTTATCACCATAGCATATTTTTATATAGAGGAGCCAACACATACCTTGGACCCTTCTGCATGAGGCTATTTCTCTTTACAAATATCCACCACATTGTGACACAGACCAAGGGGGCCCTCACCAGGATGCTGGCATACTGCTGTTTGGACCCTCCATCCACCAGATCATGAGACAAATAAATCATTTATAAGTACCCAGCCTCAGGTATTTTGTTTAAGCAACATGAAAACAACTTACACAGGAGAAAAAAATAACAGCCAAATACTGAGAAAGATTTAGGTGTGGTTAGTACTGAAAAGTGTCAAGGAAATTCCATATTCTGACTAGGATTCTCTTGATATAAGGAAATGCCAGATATCATCATTAGAAGAATAGGATTAAATTTTTGTGGGCCCAATAGCAGGTGGGAGTCCTAAACTATTGTACCTTAAATAGATAAAAGAAGGGTGCCTTCATATCCTTAGTGATCTAACATCATAGAAACTCGGCCTGCTACTCTAGATAAATAGGATGCATTTGGATAAATTTCATGAAGATTGTACTCCACTTCAAAAAAAATGAAGTAAAGGTTGGGTGTGGTGGCTCGGGAGGCTGAGGCAGGAGGATCAAGAGTTCAAAGCCAGCCTCAGCCATAGCGAGGCACAGAGTAATTCAGTAAGACCCTGTCTCTAAATAAAACAAAATAGGGCTGGGGATGTGACAGTGGCCAAGTGCCCCTGAGTTCAATCCAGGTGCAAAAAAAAAAAAATGAAGTAAAGAAATAAAGTTGAAAAGACCCTTGGAAAATTTTAAGAGAAAACTCTTTATGCTATAGAATGAAATAATCACCTGGAATAGCTCTCATCATTGCAGCTACAAGTTTAGATCTTAGCTGCCCCAGGAAGGTCCATCTCCTTTAAGACATTGCCCCTGACCACATCAATTTCCATCCAGTCCCCTACTCTAACTACTTCAGTGATGGAAGAAGTCCTCAAATAGACCAAGATACACTGGTGTGCCTGGAGTCACTCAGGTATGCCAACCAGTTTGCCCAAAGAATGAAATTTATACATTCTAGGACTGATTGCACATTGTTTCAGGGACATCTATCAAATGGAATACTGTTGAATAACGTGTGGTCTTGCAAGGTAAGGTAAAGCTCAAATTGCAGCACATAAGGGTATAGATTCAAGCTGGAGCCAGAGAAAGTTCTGTTTGCTGGAGTATGAGCAGTCTTTGCTCATGAGCAGGGTCAGGATGCTGCTTAAACAGCAGCACAGGTTAAAAGGCAGCCATGTGGCCAAGCACAGTGGCACATGCCTGTAATCCCAGTGGTCTAGGAGGCTGAGAGGGAGGATCTCGAGTTTAAAGCCAGCCTCAGCAACTTAGCAAGTCCTTAAACCACTCAGGGAGACCCTATCTCTAAATAGTTAAAACAAAAGGGCTGGGGATGTGTCTCAGGGGTCAAGTGCCCCTGGGTTTATTCCCGGTACAAACAAACCAACCAACCATGTGGAAAGGCCACCTTCAGAAGTTTTTATAAATATCACACACTCTTTTTAACAACCAAGAGTGACAGTAGTGGCTCTGCTTTATAATTGCCACTATCTTGTTTTGGAGTAATCTTGAGTATTTTAATTGTGCCACCCATAGGTGTATTCTTTAGAAGCATGTAGTGATCAGAAGAAAGTTGAGATTTTCCTATGACTAGTGTCTATATAACACATAATATAGTAGTACCATAGTACTCTAGAATATTCTCTGTAGCCTTCACTAGAAGCAAGGATTTGGTTTATATTATCTTTGGTATCTCAGTGCTTAGAAGCCACTAAATATTGGTAGATTGTCTGCATATGCAGCATTTGCCATTTTGCTTAGTTGGTTTAAGTTCTGAAGTAATTAACTCAAGGGTAGACAATTACTCCTGGATCTCTGTACCAGGTATCATACTACTTATATGGCAACCCTTTCTATTAAGATAGTTATTTGACAAATAGACAACCTTGATCAGAAGACTTAATGAGATGATCTATTTATATTTCCGAGAATCCACTACCAACACCATAAACACTGCCTAATCTAGTAGCTTCATCTCTACACAAGAACAGATATGTCCAAGAAAATATTAAATCATGTGTTAGAAACAACTATATAAAGAAAATCTTTGTTGTGAAGAGTTAATCAAAGAATATTCTTATGTATTCTAGAACATATGTTCTACACGCTTAACTTCAGACATTGAAAGTATTCACCTGTAAAAGCTTAATACCAGACTCTATTGTGTAAATTAATTTAACAAAAATTGATCATTTTCAGAGTGATCTTTACAAAGGTGTAAATGAACCCTTAACACTTAAAACCTCTTTTATAAGATGCTTATTCTGATAATTGCCAATCTGTATTCAATTAGATTTTTTGGTTGCCTTAAGCTGTCAATTAAACATTCATTACATGCTAATCACTTTGTAGACGTGATCTAATTTAATAATATAAACAACCTTATGAGGCAATCAATAGTTACTTGTCCTAGATCAAGTAACTATCAAGTGCTGGAACCAGGATTCAAACACACACCTTCATTGCTCCAAAGCTGTTAAGCTTAACCTGTTGGACTGACTGTTTCAACTCATTCAACAAAGAATATAGCAACTTACTTTACTTAATGACTAGAGGAAAACATGTTGAGTCCATCTTTTGGCAAGACCAAAGAGTTTGTCTTAAAACACTGCTCAAGATGATGTATCATTGAAGGCTCATGATGAAACAATGAGTTTATTTCTAGCACATCAAGGTATTTAAAAGTTTCAGTGCCTTGGTCACTGTTCAACAGTGAGTCAAAGTGGGGTTCCCAGGCATCCCGCACTACCCAATATAGATAATATCCAAGGTTTCTTCAGTGTTCCCTGACACTGGTTGTAAGGATAGTCACATAGCATACTATCAAGCAAGATTCAGTTAAATTAAATCCTAGAAAGATCCCAAGATATGGGCTGGGGCTGTAGCTCATTAAAGTGCTTGCCTTGCATGTGTGAGGCACTGGGTTCCATCCTCAGCACCACATAAAAATAAATAAAGATATTGTGTGTCATTCTACAACTAAATAAATATTAAAAAAAAAAAGATCCCAAGATTCACAAAGCACTTTCAATGTACATGTGAGATGGGAGCAGGAGGGTGCAGTAGGCTGGTCTTTCCTATTGCTGTGTCAGTTTCTGCTACACCATTGAAAAGGTCTCACAGCCAGTTTGCAGTTGAATGTATCTTTTTTATATGCCTTCAGGATTCTTCTGATGTTGATCCTGGAAACTGCAGTAGATCAGCAGTTTGCCAAAAACAACTCACATATCATGTCCAAAAAGCCTAAGGAAAAGGAAATACAATGGCTCTGTAATGGATTCTTAGATTCTCAGTTGCTGTAGATTAGCCACATCATTCTAAAGTACAGGAAATCAGGAATTGAACAAAGAAAACTTCAGGTGTCAGAAACTTCCAGTATCAATTCAGTATGGAGCCCCTGAGTTTTAAAGCAGTCCCTAAAGTATTTTATTAATTTCTTAATGTCTGTCACATATTACTGTACAGGTCACTATGTACCGACACTGATTTGATTAAAGTCATATTTTAAAAATTTACCCAGTCCATGTATTTTCTCTGAAAAATCTACTCTGAATTTTTCTCAGCATTTAAAAATTAAAACTATCTGGGTGAACTATTTATCATTGTAGATCAGACATCAAACTAAAATTGGACTCTGATTATCTTGGGCAACCTATTGGTCTATTTTGGATAGGCTTTTATATACAAAAATGGCCATAAGTACTAAAGAAGTAATTTCTCATTCATGTTAGAAAATGAGAGTTTCTTAATTCTCACTTCCCACATTATCAACTGTCAACCAACCAAGGAAACCATGGAAGGGAACATATATTTACCTAAATCCTAAATTTCTGATGACCATTGTAGGAGCCTAAATGAAGGTATAAGAATATGTAACATGTTTGTCTTAGACTAAATCTCTTGAGTTTACTGTTTATTTTCATGCATGAATATCAAGTTCTCATTTCATGTAATTATAGGAAGTACTACAGCCTTCAGAGTATACATATGATTTCTGGAGAAGTCGTTAATTTTTATGGTAGTTTCCAGTCATATCTTACTCCAAATTCCTACTCCCGGTGCTACCACTCAGTTCTGTCCTTTATATCGTGTCATGCCAACTAAGGACAGAGACCTTGTCTCCTTTATTCTCCAAAGCCGTCTAACACATAGCTTTTAAGAAGAAGAGACTTAAAAATGCAAGAACTCAGGAGGATAGGTACAGCACAGAAATGGAAGCAACTTAAAATTTAGTATCAGAACTCACTTTTAAGGTTCCAGATATGTACATATGGAAGAAATATCTGTACAAATGGAAGAGTGTTTGTGTTTTAATACAGGCCATTTCTTTTCTTTTTTTTTTTTTTGACTCTTCTCACCATTTTATTTTGCTTCATCTTGTTTTGGAAAATGCTATTTAGGATAATATAGAACTAATTGTAACATTGTTCTTTATGCTAACATGTAATAGGTTTAAGATTATAATTAACTTAAATATTTTAAAATTTGTTTTTAATTTCAAATGCAGTAAATAAATATTGATAGACATTAAGCCCACATAAACAAAAATTCCACTCATAGTGTAAAGGAGTCCTAAGATCAAAGAGTTTGAAAATCACTGCCATAGATGATTATTTCCTCAGAAGTCTTCATATGGGAAAGTTTAACACATGAAATATAGATTCTTACCCAAGAAGTTATCTAATTACTTTATATATGAAAGAAATTAATGTATTTTAAAGGAATTCTAACAAGTAGCAAAAATTGAATCCCATAGCACAGGGGAACAAGAGTTGCCAATAAGATAAATTCCATCCTCATAAATAGCTATGGTACCTAGATTATAAGTCAATCATACCTTTCTTCATTATCATCATAAGGCAACATATGCTAATTGCCAAGTAAGTCCTTCAGTAACTTAGGTCCCAAATTTCACACTTCCTCTTCTAAATCTGCCCTGACGCCCCGCCTTTTTCTCTAGTCTTTTTTTCCCCCCCTTCGTATCAGGGATTAAACTCAGGGGCACTTCTGAGCCATATCCCCAGCCCTATTTTGTATTTTATTTAGAGACAGGATCTCAATGAGTTGCTTAGTACCTCGATTTTTGCTGAGGCTGGCTTTGAATTTGAAATCCTCCTGCCTCAGCCTCTTGAGCCACTGGGATTATAGGCTAGCACCATTCTCTCCAATCTTACTGACACCTGGGGCTCATTACCAGCCCATTCTTTCCTTTAGTTCTAGCATTTTCCTGATTCTTTCCCCTAAGTACAACCAAACATTCACTCAGATCAGAAGTCACTGATGCTATAAGTGTGTAAAGACTGTTACTTAGAAAGTAAATCTATTAAGCTTCCAAGAAGAAAATGGATTGCAATTACAAATTGGTACAAAATGTAGCACTTAAAAAAAAAAGTCTATCTCTACAAAACAAAAAGTCTACCTCTACAAAACTGTTGTTAACCTGTGGTTCAGCATCTCCATGAGAGAACCATAAATGATTTGCAAAGTGTCTATAAACTCCTTGAAATTGTATTCAAATATTGAGTGCATACACTTTTCTAGAAATGGACAGTTGGCCTTTGTTTGCATCACATTCACAACAAAACTATAATTTTTTAAAAAATGAAAAAAAAGAGCAAAAAATCCTTGTTCTACAGGTTTCTGGAGTTCCGCAAGTACAGATTTTTATGAATGGCAGTTATGAACAGATTCATTAACAATTACATAAAAATTACAGCTGTTTGAATTGCATGACTTTTTTTTTTTAGTTGTAGTTTATTTATGTGGTGCTGAGGATTGAACCCAGCACCTCACACATAGTAGGCAAGCACGCTACCACTGAACTACAACCCCAATCCTGACTGCATGACTCTTTAAGAGTAAGGACTAATAGGAATAAAATATTCACAGGCCAAATATCTGTGAGCTTTCCATGTCTTAATGATTCTCACGAAGCAAAATATTTGGTAATTAATTTAATAGTACCAAATGAGATTTAGACTTATACCTGAACCACAGAGCTACTACCTAACTCACCAATTAGCCTTCATCAAATTTACTAGTCACATGGGTTGGTTTTTAGTAGCACAACTGAGAAAATCCATGACACAACAAAACAAGCAAATATAAAATATGATTTCCCAGGTGTTTCAACCTGATAAACAACTGATAGTGGCCAGTTCAATCAAGAAAGTAAACAGTTCAACAAGGACTGTAGTACAGGTAAGTTAGGGAATTAATAGTCAAGTTCAAAGAACAAAATACTCTAGCAATTAATTAAATGATACACTACTATATTTTGTGCTCCTGATCATGCTAAGTTTAAAATTAAAATTCATTTAAGTTATATATTATGTGTATATATACATACATATATATATATATATATATATATTTATAATATATATATATATTTTTTTAGTTAACTAAATCCTAGGCTAATCTTCAGACTAGTCATACATGTAATCAATCTGTCACCTTTGAAGATAATTATTTATTATTAACTTAAACAGGGATTTCTATACCTTATAGATAGAAAACTCAGCTACAAAACTATACAGTGTAAAATGAATACAAATCAATCATTATGACAGATAAACTTGAGAGTCAAAGTGAACAAAATATTTTATATCAGCAAAATGTCTCGTCAAATTCTACTCTTTAAGATTTCAACGGGGACTGGGAATGTGGCTCAAGCGGTGGCGCGCGCGCCTGGCATTCGAGCGGCCCAGGTTCGATTCTCAGCACCACATACAGACAAAGATGTTGTGTCCGCCAAATACTAAAAAATAAATATTAAAAAAAAAGATTTCAATGTAATGTATTAAAACAAATGTCCTTCCCAAATCCATAGAAAAACACTAACTTATTTCAAAATTTCTATTTAGAAACACAAATATTTCCTAGCTGTGAACCATACGTGAAAACTTTAAAGTTTACTATTCAATTCTAAGTATGTTTTCAGGAGTTTTCAACAGTTTTTCTCTTTTTAAAAATATCATTAATGGTAGTAATGGGAGCAGTAATACATAAGTTATTTTCACAAATAATGTACATATAAATTACTCAAGATCCAGGTAAGCAGCTGTGGAAGTTTTCTTATATGTACTATAGTTGCTATAATTAAGATGAATTTTTATATAAAGGATTATTACAATGTAATATCAGATTTACAGCAGATACCAGATAATACATGAAGGCATTTATGTTTTTATCTTAAAAATAAGCTATTGAGCACATTGGGTCATAAGAATATCTAGATAGATATAGATAAGATAGGCAGATAGTATCTGACCTCTAACAGCATACAGTCCCCTAGAGAATGGAAACAAAAAAATGAAAGAGTCCCTCTGTTTTAAATGAATTTTTATAGCATACCACTAGTAGTGTTAACTTGGGTCAATTTTATCTAATACTGACTTCAATGACTTAGAAATCAATATTTACTAATTACAATAATAAGTCCTTCAAAGTAAAATCTCCCCTTATTCTCCTCACTGGATCATAATGTAATACTCCTTCCTTCATCTTAAAACATAACTCCTCTCTCACGACTGTTACCTCAATAATCAACTCTAGATATATGACTCTGCACACCCCACGTATTACTAGGAGGCTTAAAAATGAAGTCAGGATGGGAATACATCTCGGTGATAGAGCACCCTGGGTTCAATCCCCAGTACCGCCACTACTACCCTCAAAAAAACAAGTAGGGATAACAGGCAATGGCAGCACAAGAGCCAAGTTTTGCTTTGTTTTTTTTTGTTTTGTTTTGTTTTGTTTTAATTATTTTTTTATCAGTTGTTCAAAACATTACATAGCTCTTGACAAATCATATTTGCTTTGTTTTGTTTTGTTGGTGCTGGGAAATGAACCCAGGATCCTCTTTGTGCTAGGCAAGTGCACTTCCACTGAGCTATATTCCCAACCTCAAGTTTTAAAGATGAAACAGTCTTCAATTGCCCATTTCTAAGCATATAACCATAAGACTAGTGATACAAATAACACATTAAAAATATGCTCCTTTTTTTGGAGGTGGGGAGGCAGAACCCACCGGGGATTGAACCCAGGACCTCATTCACGCTAGACAACATTCTACCACTGAACTAAATTCCCAGCCCTTTCTTTTAATTTTATTTTAAGAAGAGTCTGAATTGTCAGGTCTGACCTTGAACTTGTGATCCTTCTGCCTCAGGCTCCGGAGTAGCTGGGATTATAGGCATGTACAACTGCACCTGTTTTCTCTTTGATCTCACACAGGACGCTGAAGAGAGCGGGTTTCATTCTATGACAGTTCAGGGCATGTTTCTTTGCTTGCGCCTCGTCCAAGCTCTGGTCATGATCTGGTGGAGGATGTCGCCTATGTCCTGCTTCCTGCCGCCCCTTCGTGGCCGTGCGGGGGAGGCGGCAGGGCCATGCCCCCCTGCACCGAGTGGCCGGCCAGGTTCACCCCGGCCAGAGCCGCGCAACTTGCTCCTCAGCGCCGGCCGAGTTGCCGGGACGCCGCCGCCCCCCGCGCCAGCCTGCGCTCTCCCCTCCTTCTGCTGCGGCCGTCGCCGCCGCCGCCGCCGCCTGGGCCAGGCGGGATCCGAGCCCCGGCGGCCCCGGGGGAGGGAGCGGCGGCGGCGGCGGGTGGCGGCGGAGGAGGAGGCCGGCCGGCGGGCCGCGGGGAGCGAGGGGGGCTGAGGAGGAAAGTTTGGGAGCGGGCGGGCCCGCGCGGCGGGGACGCGGAGCCCGGTGGAGGGCCCCGGCGGGCCGCGCGCCGGACGGACAGCAGATTGATGGGGCGGGAGAAGTCGCCGCCGCCACTGCCGAAGCCTCGCACCCAGCCAGCAGCCTCCGCGGACCGGGCTCGAAGGCCGCTCGGCTGAGGGATTGACAGGCTGCCAGTGCCACTCACTCCAATACAGGCCATTTCTTACGGGCCTTTTTTTCTCTTTAGGTCTCAATCAGTCAAGTTCCTTAGGATTGTCTTCGAATTTCCTTTCAAGAGTTTTCTCCTTTTTCCTATTTATTCTTCCTTTCTTGTTTTCTCCCTTCATAAAAAGCCAAGCCCTAAGTGACAACCTGTCCTATGTATTGCAGATATGAAAGTATACAAGACAAAGTACCTGCACCACTAGAGCTTAGGTCCTAGTGGGAGAGAGAGATAAAATGGAAATAAAATACTTTTTATTATGTGCTATGAAAGAAATCAGGGAGGGAATAAAAGAATAACTGTGGAGGTCTTGCTTTGGGTGAGATGGTCAGTAAAGGACTCTTGGCAGATGTGACATTTTGAGAGAGAAAGGAAAAAGAAACTGGCTACATAAATAATGGGACAAAACCCATTTAATTCCATAAGGAAGTCTAATTTAATTACCTAAGGAAACAGGAGTGAAGATACTCTTCAAAGTTTTATAATAGGAAAAATATTGGAGATAATATAGATGTTTGTGTTAGCTTTATGTCACTGTGACCGAAATGCCTGACAAGACCCACTTATAGGAGGAGAAGTATCTTTGGTCTCATAGTTTCAGAGGTTCAGTTCACGGTCAGCCAACTACATCACTTTGGGCTTAAGACAAGCTGGAGCATCATGGCCGAATCATGGCCAAAGAGCCCATCAGAGGAAAGTTACTCAGCTGGAGGTGGCCCGGAAACAAAGAGAAGGGAAGGGGCTGCAGGAAAGATATACCCTTCTAGGGCATTCCCCCAGTGACTCACCACCTATAGTCATGCCCCATCTACTTACAGTTACCACCTCAGTCCACTCAAACTAGGATGAGGTTACAGCTCTCAATCTAATTATTTCACCTCTAAATATTCCTGCATTAACACAGGAGCTTTGGGGGGACACCTCATGCCCAAACCATAACAATGATCATCTTAAGGGGTAAAGATAAGCAAAAAATAAACCTGTCTTAATCTATTTCTGCTGCTATAACAAAGTTTCTGAGGCAGGATACTTTATACAGAAAAAAGGTTTATTTAGCTTATGGTCATGGAAATTGAAGTAAATGGCACCAGCATTTACTTGCTTTGGGTGAGGGTCTAGTGGCAGATGGCATCACAATGGTGGGTGCATGTGTAAGACTGGCAAGCAGCACATGCAAAAGAGGCATTCACAGGAGGTAGCAGGCTCCCTTATAATAACATTCTTTCTGGAACTAATCAAGATTTCCAAGTTGAATTGACGTTGTTTTGTTCTCTTTATCCTGATCATTAAAGCCAACTTTTCCAGAATTTGTATTGATTGATGATATCTGTACAAATGGAAGAGTGTTTTCTGTGTTTCAAAGTTTTAAGCAAATAATCTGAGAAGTATTTTTCAGAAATGTTTGATATTGTCTTCATAGTGCTGCCTATAATGAAATCTTAAAGGCACACACACACACATAAAGTAACTTTATGAGTAATGGGTGTATTAATTAGCTTAATTGTGGTAATATAAAAGCATATATAAAAGTATCAAGTTAAATATTAAATATATGCACTATTGTCAATTGTATTTCACTAAAGCTTAAAAATGAAAGACTTTTCAGTCAACATTGTGAATGCAGGTAAAAACAGACAAAACAAAAACTACTTTGGATATGTGTATGTGTGTGTCTGTGTGTGTGTATAAATTCTGGAATATAAAATTGGGCATTGAAAACCAATGGAGCTAAACTAGATTTCTAAAACTGAGGAAGTGCTTTATTTTATTTTATTTTATTTGCTCCTTTTAGTTATACATGACAGTAATGTGTATTTTGACATATTTATACAAACCTGAAGTATGTCTTATTCTAATTGGGATGCAAGTCTTGTGACTGTATGAGCTGTAGAGATTCACAGTGGTATATACATATCTGTACATAGGAAATTCATGTTAGATTTAGGCCACTGTCTTTCCTATTCCTATCCCCATCCTGTCCCTTCATTCTCCTTTGTCTAATCCATTTTTTTCCCCTCTGTCTCTTTGTTGTGTGCTAGTATCCAGATATCAGAGAGAACATTTGACCTTTGGTTTTTGGGAATTGTCTTATTTCATTTAGCATGATAATCTCCAGATTCATTCATTTACCAGACAAAGTCATAAAGTCATTCTTTTTTTATGGCAGAGGGATATTCCATTGTGTACATATTTTCTTTATCCGTTCTTCTGTTGAAGGGTACCTAGGATGGTTCTGTAGCTTAGCAATTGTGAATTGAGCAGCTATAAACATTGAAGTGGATGTGTCACAGTAGTATGCTGATTTTAACTCTGTTGGATATATACCTAGGAGTGGTATAACCAGGTCAAATGGTGTTTCCATTCTGTTGGGGCAGGCCCAAAATGGCTGTAGTTAGGTTCCCTTACTGCAGCTAAGTTATATTTTCAGCGTGTAGACAGAGCTAGGATCCGGCTATGTTATGATTAGTCAAGGCCAGAAACACTCTGAACATTAACTTGTGAGACACACCCCCCCCCCTTATGTAACTGGTGGCAGTGTTAAAAGGGCATATAAAAAGGGAAAATAATTGGGGTGAAATGGGCTAATGGGGGACTAATGGAGACAAAATGGGGGGAAAATGAGAATTAAAATGGACCTGGCTGGGAGCTGGAGCTGAAGCTGGGGGCTGGCTAATAGCTATGGCTGCCCCTGAATAAAGGATGACCAGTATTCCCACTGTGCCTCACATCTTCTTTCAATTGCTCAATCTTTGAGCCTTGTTTCCTGGGTCAGAGCCTCTGCACAACACATTCCTAGTTTCCTCTGCATAATACATTCCCAGTTTTTTGAGGAATCTTCATACTGCTTTCCAGAGTGATTACACCAATTTGCAGTCCTACCAGAAATGTACAAGTGTACCTTTTCCCCACATCCTCACCAACATTTGTTGTTGCTTGTGTTCTTGATAATTGCCATTCTGACTGGAGTGAGATGAAATGTCAGTGTAGTTTTAATTTGCGTTTCTCTAATTGCTAGAAATATTGGACATTTTTTTTTGTTTATTTGTTAACCATTTGTATTCTTCTGTGAAGTGCCTGTTCAGTTTGCTTGCCAATTTATTGATTATTTGGGTTTTTGGTATTAAATTTTTTGAGTTCTTCATATATTCTGGAGATTATCCATGTGAGATACTAGTGGCAAAGATTTTCTCCTACACTGTAGGCTCTCTCTTCCCATTCTTGATTGTTTTCTTTGCTGTGAAGAAGCGTTTTAGATTGATACCATCCCATTTATCGATTCTTGATTTTACTTCTTATACTTTATGAGTCTTATTGAGGGAGTTGATTCCTAAGCCAACACAGTGGAAAGTTTGGCCTTTTTTTCTTCTAGTAGGTGCAGTGTCTCTGGTCTAATTCCTAGGGTTTTGATCCACTTTGAATTGATTTTTGTGCGAGGTGAGAGATAGGGGTTCAATTTCATTCTCTATGTATGCATTTCCAGTTTTCCCAGCACCATTTGTTGAAAAGGCTTTCTTTTCTTTGAAGTATGTTTGTGGAGCCTTTGTCTAGTATGAGATAACTGTATTTGTATGAGTTCGTCTCTGTGTCTTCTATTCTGTTCCATTGGTCTTCATGTCGATTTTTGTGCCAGTACCTTTCCATTTTTGTTGCTCTAGCTCTGTAATATAGTTTAAGGTCTGATATTGCTTCACTTTTCTCACAAGGATTGCTTTGGCTATTTGGGCCTCTGTCTGTAGGGAAGAGAGGGTATGCCAGATGTAGTGGTGCACATCTGTAATCCCAATGACTCAAGAGTCTGAAGTAGGATCTCAGGTTCGAGGCCAGCCTGGGCAATTTAGTAAGACCCTGTTCCAAACTAAAATAAATAAAAAAGGTCTGAGAGTGTTTTTCAGTGGTATCAGTATCAGGAAAAACAAAAGAGAGAGACATCTACCCTTGAAGTAAATTCAGGTATAAAATACAATAACATTAACTATAGTGACCATGCTGTATATTAGATCTCCAGAGCTTATTAATCTTGAATAAGTGAGACTTTGTACTCTTTGGTCAACATATTCCCATTTATCCCTTCAATCCCCCATAAGGGATTGAACCCAAGGATACTTAACCATTGATCCATATTCCCAGCCCTGCTTTTTTTCCCTCATATTTTTTAATTTGAGACCAGGTCCCACTAAGTTACTCAGGGCCTCACTAAGTTGCTGAGGCTGGCCTGGAACTTGTGATCCTCCTGCCTCAGCCTCCTGAGCTGCTGGGATTATAGGAATGAATGTACCATTCTGCCTGGCCCATTTGAGTTTTTTAAAAAAATGGTACTGTAGCAACTGGATATTCATAGACAGACAGACAGACACACACACACACACACACACACACACACACACACATCTGCTGCGTGACCAGCATGCTAGCTTCATACTAGAGGTTCTAAACATAGAAGTTAACTGAGATCAAAATAAAGACACATAAACTCAATTTACCTTTTTCTTGCCCAGCTAAGAGTCGGCCCTTCCTGGCTCCTGCTTCGAGCTACCTGACACAAGAGACCAGCAGGAGAGAGGGGAGAGCACGCCAGAGAGTGGGCTTTTATTGGGGAACAAAAAAT